CAATACAAACCCAATAGTCATTAAAAGGTACGAATAGTAGGCAACACTTGTGTGCCATTAATAGGCATAGCATTTAATGCATTGCTGTATTGAGTTGTGTCAACACATTGTGTTGCGCTCTCTCTCTCTCTCACAGTTTGTTTGCCATTGAAGTCATTGTTAACTCAGATTTTGTGGTCATTTCTTGAGATAATTTCGGACAACAAAAGAGATGCCGAAGAATAAAGGTATGAATCGGTGGTACTCTTGCGGTGATACTAACCATTTGATTGTCTCTAATTGATAGGAAAGGGAGGAAAGAACAGAAGGCGTGGTAAGAATGAGAACGAGACCGAGAAACGGGAACTGGTCTTCAAAGAGGACGGACAGGGTATGTGTCCACACATTATCACCCAAAGGGATCAGCTCCGGCATCACCACTTCCCCCTCTCTTTGATCGACCCTTTCGATCGCCCCTTAAGATCCCTTTTGTCTCTTGAGATATCTATTGATGTCTGTATTGAACTAATGGTTTGATTATCTCTTTTAATGGCCTCATAAACGTATTGATGTCTTCGTGGTATTTAATGGTCTCTATCATCGATGGTCTGGTTGTGTGTGTGATATGTAGAGTACGCGCAAGTGATCAAAATGTTGGGCAACGGACGGCTGGAAGCGCTCTGTTTCGATGGCATCAAACGCTTGTGTCATATCAGAGGCAAACTGAGGAAAAAAGTGTGTATTGTTTCCCACATCTTGGGATCCGATTAGCGGATCCAATTGTACCGTCTGTTTAGTCGTTGACTGTTTTGATAGTTGTATTGCTATTAATATAATTTAGTGATAAATCATTTCGTATTGCAGTTAATGTCAAACAATTATTGTTTGTCTCCACTGTTTAAGCAGTGATTTATTAATTCAAGCGTTTAATCGCTTATAAAATGACTAAACAATAACTGCAGCAAAAAACGGCATTGATTTACAAAAACAAAGCTAACAATTAATTAATTCAGAGTATATTTAGTGTTAGAAATAGTGAATTGCAATCAATTAATCAAACGTAAAGTCAACGCAAACAGCGGTATAAACACGTGGTTTAAAAAACAGTCACTAACTATACGTTCGTTTGGGCACTGGTCGGGCACCTGCCGTACCCCCTCCCCTTATACCACGTGTATATATGTAGGTATGGATCAACCAAGGTGACATAATTCTGGTCGGTTTGCGCGACTATCAGGACGCGAAGGCGGATGTGATCCTGAAGTACAATCCGGATGAGGCGCGTAATCTGAAATCGTACGGCGAATTACCCGAAACGGCCAAAATCAACGATACGGTCACCTTTGGTGACGAAGAGGAGGACGAAGACATCATCGAATTCGGCGAAGTGTCCGACGACGAGGAGATCAATGTATGTCCACTTGTTGTCTGTGTGTTTAGTTGATCCCGTTTGTGGCCACGAATGGCAGTCAACACTCACTAATGGTCACTCCGTTTGGTGGTGTGTTGTTGTGTATGGCTTAAGACATTGTGGGTTTAGTTTTAGCGGATCTGATGTATGTGTGATCTCTAATGACCCCCAACTCTCCACTTGTTATATATCGTAGACTTTTATTGTTAGGGTTTTTGATTGGTGTCTAATGTCGAGTGCCATTTGTGGTGATAATTGTTTTAACCCATTGTTTCCTAATGTGTTTTATTGATAATTAATTACTATTTCTGTTTCTCTTTTACAGGCAATTTAAATGGAAAGCGTTTTTCTAATTCATTAATAATAATAACTAATTGATAATAAAAACTATATAAAGAATACGGAATTGATATGAATTTTGTTTTGCTGTTTGTCTGAAAAAAATTGTTTTTTGAAAATACATTTCAATGTTTTTTGATATAAATTTGATTCACATTTTTTTCTGAAGACAGACTTTGAAAGTTAGTTTTTATCGCTTTTAAGTCCATTTATTAATAATATAATTACTATTTAATGATAATAATTGAG